TGTGGCAGTGTGGCAGTGTGGAAGTATGGAAGTATGGAAGTGTGGCAGTGTGGAAGTGTGGAAGTGTGGAAGTGTGGAAGTGTGGCAGTGTGGCAGTGTGGAGGCTAATCGGGTCTTGAAGGGCGAGAAGGAGTAATCCCGAGATGGAGGGACAGGTGCCAGCGATATCGTAGTAAAACATACCCGAAGTCATTTCGCCGTATCGTGATCGAATAGTTATGATCTCCTACATATTTCAGGTATCCTGGCTACCATGAAAACGTTTGGCCATACAACTACTCAAAGCAACACTGGGAGGTGACTACTGCTCGGCTTGCTTTTGTGTTCGTTTTCCAGTTTACAGTCTTCTTAATCACAGACTTCGTCGAGAAGCTCTTCCCAGATGTTTCTAAGAATATTGCCGAGAAGGCAAAGAAAGAGGAGGATCAGATTAAGTCTGTCTTTGGGCACAGTAGAGCAATATAAATGGGTCTAGCCTACTTCCGCTTTCGTCATGAATGCAGGGAGAACCTATCTTAGACACGACCAGTTTCAATAGTGTCCAAAGACCGTTGTATTTAGAACCAGAAACCGCAATAAGGGCTTGGGGGAATTCTGAATATCGGTGTTTTTTTGTGTGTGTATTTTTATTTTTCTCTTTATGGCACTTATTCTCTGATCATTTCTGGAGACCTCATCGACGAGTGTTCATGCCTAACCCTCACCAAGTTTAAACATTGCAGAATTTTATGATATCACTTATCAAATATTACCAGTATATATATTCAGATCAGTGTGTGTTCCAAGGAGAAAAACAGTGTTAACACTCGTTCTCCGATTAATCGAAAGCAGGATTGAAATTAGTCGTAACTTGGAATTATAAAGTTTTACCGCAAGATCTCTTGTGCTTAGGCCTGGCAGTTTTAGCTTTCTTAACTTCGATACCCTTTTGCCACTGCACTACAGAGCGTAGGAATAGGTAACTAGATGTAATCACTTCAGTTTTAAACTAATTCTTGTAAGGAGTACTGGTAAGTGTTAGCATAGAGAGGAATTCATTGAGACTTAAAACAGTTGAGAGTTTAATTACGAAAGTTGGTTTGATTTTGTAACAAGTTAGTATGTTTAACATTTCCACCTTGGCATCCTCTCAGGGTAGCGAACCGTGGCGCATGTTGTCCCATTTACAAGTATGGCGTGATTGGCAACTAAGCTTACGATTCCTCTCCAGATCTTTGTTAGCTAAGCAGGTAGCTTTTTCTCTGTGTTTCATTTACTATAGAAAATTCAATTTTGCTCGGCAAACATAAAATACTAGTACTGCAAACTTAAGACACCAGCTGTCACATTCAGATTACGCCCGAGTTGTCCCTTTTTTTATTTTTGTTAGTGTTTAATTTTGCTCGCTTTACTCTCTCCAAGAAAGCAAGGGACTGCTCGCAGTTAAGTCACAATCAGCAAAATTAGGAAATCAGGGTGGAAAATGTTGACATTTCATTCGCTATTCTGGCTCAACCGATTTTTTGTTTGGATTTGTATGCCGTTATGGTGCTTCGTCATACACCCAAGTATAATTGTGTTTTTTTTTTCAGTAAATGCTGCTTGATCCCATGACCAACACTGAGTGCAAATAACGGGCGTGTTTGAATAAAGTGTGCAATTTTGTGCGATGCGTTTGACAAAGGTTTGTTTACTAAGGCAGAAGGGGACATCTGACCATGGACGAGACTATGATAATGACAATTAATTAAAAGCACCTGCGCTAATGTTTCGTCATATCAACACTGATGTGGATGACAAGGGTTATTTGATTCAGTTATGGCTCACGACCAAAACTAAATGTTGCATTCAAAATTTGTTCAGAGACAATTGATAGCTTGTACACCAGCTCAGCTCGTAAGACAATAACTTTACTTCTTTACCAAGACAAGGGATGATCGGTGAATGTTGATATATCCTGCACCCAAAATATTGTTTGTAACTGTTTGTAAAATAGCAAAATGCGTTATTCAAAACACCTTCATGGGTGGTGCAGACTATAGTAATTTTGAGGTTATAGAGGCAACTATTTTTTAAATAGATTAGATCGACTCGTAACGTTATCTTTACAGATTTATTTGTCATTTCACTCGAGACTAGCGCTCGTTCAGTTTGTCAGTATTCTTTGACAGAAAAAGAACCAGACAACTTTGATGTCCAAACAGTCATTCAAAAAATAAACCGTAAAATAAACAAACGTTCCCTTTCTTTTAGTCCAATTTACAACTGGTAGAAAAGAAAATTTTCTCGTAAAAGGACTGTTGGATAAAAAGTCGTACATTTCTACCGTAGTGTTAACAAATAAAATAAGCTTACGTCTTTGAGTGTCTGGAACGGCAATAATAAAATCTGCGCGGCAAAATGACATTTTATGTTGGGTTTGAACAGATGTGCAACGCTCCGTCTGTGATCGAATCGAAGAACCCCGATTTTGGTTGAAGATTGTGCAAAATGAAGCAGTGTATAGCGGCAGAGTGTTAAGGAAGTACATGCGGAAATAAAACCTGCCGTTTCTTTCATGAAAGATTTCGAGGCTTCTTCAAGGTTGCCAAAGAACAATTAAATAATTTTGAAGAAACAAAAAAAAGTCCTTCTTCCGATAGAAAAATCCTACTAAAATAGTCCTACTGAGGGACAATATTCAAAGATTATTCATTTCAAATGATTTTTCTTTCTAAGAAAAAAGGATAATTTTTTAATACTTACCTCTCACTGCTAAAGTGATATTTCGGAGAATTGCCAAAAGCAGCAAAACTGAAGGTGAAGGTGAACGTGGAAGACACATTCCCAAGCGCATCTTTGCGAGTCTGCAGGTGAACTGTTCTTCGAGTCTATCAGGAGCTTATTTTATTACAACCCTTTTAAATGGTATCATACGTCCATTATCAGACTACTATGTTTCTTGAAGAATGCATTGTTTTCAGCTGGATTTTAACAGGTCAGGTTAAAATAACTTCGAAAAAGTCAGGTAATGCATGATCGGGAGCGGAAATAACAGCGCAACGCTAAATTATCGAGGCTGAACACTCTAATTAACAAGCCCAAAGTTTTCTTCTTTTAATTTCTCTTCAATGATTTCTTCTTTTCTCGTGATCTTCCCACTTCTCCTTTCATCAAATTGTTTTTATATGCTACATCTTTCTTCTAAGTTCTTTAGTTGTACAATCACTGCTACATGATTAAATTTAAGATCT